TCCCTCCACCAACCCCCCCACCTGCTGTTGGGGGAAGAAAAGTCAGAATGAAAGTGGGGGCTTGAGACCCCAGGCCCTTGCCAGGAACCTTGCCCCGGGTGGGCAGGGCCCCCCAGGAGAGACCCTGGTGGGTGGGTGGGTGGGGGGCAGCTCCCAGCCTGGCCACCCTTGAAACGTGGACAGACCTGGCTGCATTGGGGACACGCATAGCTTGTGTCACTGAGAGGCTGGGCCCAGGGTGACCCTTATGGGCTTTAAGTGGCTTATTTCTAGGTGGGGGGTCACAGTGGGGTCCTGAACCCCCCCAGTATACTTCCCCTGATACTCAGACTTCATCAGAAATGCCACCAGGACGGCTGCTGCTTCCTGCCCTCCTGCCAGTCTCTTTTCCTGAGTCATTGCTGGGTCCTTCTCTCTTCCCCTTCACTGCCGTTAACTCCTTCAGAACCGGGCGGGCCCAGGGAGGCATAGGGTGAGAGAGAGAGGGTGAGAGTGAGAGTGAGAGTGAGAGAGTTTGTGTGTGTGTGTGTGTGTGTGTGTATACAGGGGAGGGGACCGTCTCTGAGGCCTGCCACAGGCCTCCTTCCGATCAAAGGGACGCTTGTCATCTCCAGCGGTGGCTGTTGAGCGCGTGGCTCCAGGCTGAGAGATGAACCGGGTTTAGCAATAGGTCCTCATCGGCATGAATCAGTGGAGGAGAAGGAGGCAAAAAGCCCACTCCTTTGACTCAGCTTTCTGGAAAAGGTCCTGAAGGCCACACGGTTACCAGGACAACGGGAGGTCCACGCCCACCGCTCCTGTCTGCCGGACGCCCAGCCCCCATCCGAGTGGGCAGGCTGTTAAGTCAGCACTCCGCCTGCCTCCGACCCGCTGCCTCCTGTCCCCAGAGGAGCTGCAGGCTGTGGGCGTTTCTCCATGTTTCTCCCTCAGAGCCTTCATGGAAGGCCGCTGCTATTCACAAACGTGTCTGTTGTTGGGAGCCGACTCAGTTTCTGTCCTTGGATGCAGCTCCTGACCTCCCCCCCCCCCCCCCCCATATTAACTCTGGAGGGAGTCGGTGTGTTTGTCAGGGAGCAGAGTTGGGGGGCTTATGGGTGGTGGCCATAGAGGGGTTGGGGCCCTGGTAGGATTCAGCAGCCTGGGGGCACCCCTCCTTTTGCCCCCACCTGCACATATTCTGATTGGCCTTCAGGGCCCGATTGTCTTTTAAAATAAGCACTGTCCTAGCGGATAGGGAGAGCACGTGGTTAAAGGTGCTTGCCTTGCATGTACCTGGTCTCTGCACAGCACTTCCAGATACGGTTGAAACAGTACTGGAAAGATTTTACAATATAGGGCTACAGCACTTGCGTTGTTAGAGGGTGGGCCCCAGTTGCATCCCTCACCCCCTGAACAATGCTGGGAGTGATTCCTGTGCACGAGGAGCAAGCCCAGAGTGTCACTGGCTATGTCCCGGACTTTCATACCCCTCCCCTCAAAAGATGAAGCATTGTTTCTTGCTTTTTTTTTTTTTTTTTGCTTTTTTTGGGTCACACCCGGTGATGCACAGGGGTCACTCCTGGCTCTGCACTCAGGAACCATCCCTGGCAGTGATCAGGAGACCATATGGGATGCCAGGAACCGAACTTGGGTTGGCCGCATGCAAGGCAGATGCCCTACCCGCTGTGCTATCACTCCAGTCCCCGTTGTTTCTTGCTTTGAGGGAAGGCACGCGAGTCAAGGAAGGTGCGTGTCTTGTGTGTTGTTGACCCTCTGTTTGGTCCCGCTTCCCTGAGCCAAGTAAGTGTTTGTCCCTTCCCAGGTCCGGAAGCTCCTCACTGGGAAACATCCGGATGTGTCACTCCCCTCCCAGCCCCCCTCAACACGCCCTAGTCTTCCTGTTGGCGTGTCTTTACTCCTTTGTAAATCGTCCCCTAACTGAATGTGGCACGGAGTACAAGATTCAGGCGTCGTTTCTTCTGCAGCGGTGTTCTCAGAGCCCCAACACAGCTCACTCACGTGAGAGTGTCACCCCAGCTCACACCACGCGCCTCTGTGTTCGTGGAGCCGGGGGTCGTGAGTCCTGACCTGCCTGCTGGCAACACTCTCCGATTGCTCTCCTGACCCTCTTTGACCTCCTAAGCAGTGCTCAGGGCACCCGAGGACGCTTCCTGACTGTGGGCTCATGGTTGAGTGCCCTGGGCCGGCCATGCTTGGATGCCACCAGGGTCTACTGGTGGCAGTACTCGGGGATCACGTGGCATCAGGGGTTGAACCCAGGGTCTCATTCATGCCAGGCCCATGCTCCACCTCGGAGCTCCACCCCCTTCCATTGTTAATGGTGGGAATCTCATGTTAGCTGCCCTCCATGGAGAACCAGCGTCGGTTCCTGCCAGGTCCACCCGGATATTCTGTACGTGTGTGCGTGTGTGTGCATATGCATGCATGTGTGTGTCGTGTGTGTCTAGGAGGAGGTTGTTGGATGAAGACTGGAAGAGATGTTCTTAGTAGCGATGGCATAGTGGAGATCCCGGGGGGTATATCCCAGGCCCTTGGTGACATGGATTCAGGGAGTTTTCTCACTAACTAGCTGTTGTGCACCGCCGGACCCTCCCTTGTGCACTCTGGGCTCCCTTTGGACGTCTGTGGGGTTGCTCCCCCAGCACTGAAACTCCTGGCCGCCCTCCAGGGACCCGTGGTTGGCATTCAGTGCTCTCTGCAGTTGTGTCTCGCTGGGATACCCTGAAAGCTAGCCGGGGCCGCTTCTACAGTGTGGGGTGTGTGTGTGTGTGTCTTTGTGTGTCTTTGTGTGTATCTGTGTGTCTGTGTTTGTGTGTCTGTGTATGTCTCTGTTTATCTGTGTCTTTGTGTCTGTGTCTCTGTGCATGTGTGTGTGTGTGTGTGTGCTTGCTTGTGTGTCTATGTGTGATGAGGAGTTCCATGGCATGACCAGGATTTTTGCACATACAGTCGGGCCTCTGAATCAGACCTAACCCCCAGGCGGTCCTGGCTGTGGCCGCATCACGCCTGCTCATCCAGCTCCGGCAGCTCCTGTCTGGACACGAAGGAGGTGCCACAGGCCGCAGGCTGCATGCTGGGACGTGCATGAGAATCCAGACTGCAGCTCCTCTGCCGGCGTTCTTTGGGGCTCATCTTCCATACGGATCCCGCGTCCTGTCACCCGCAGCCCTTCCTCTGCGCAGGGTGTCGGGGACCCCAGGCCAGAGCCCGTCCTTGGCTGACATGCTGGGCGGGATGGAATGGGCCTGCTCCTTTGCAGGTGAAGTTGACCCTGGCCCAGGGTGTTCAAGCGGCTTGGTGGCTCTGAGGTGCTGGCAGAGTAAAAACAAAGGAACCGTCACCAAGGGCAGTTTTCAGATGCCAGTTGGTGAGCAGGGAATGAGGTGTCGTACAGACCCTGCCTGGCTGGCTGATGGGCTGTGGGAACATGGTGTGGGTGGTGGTGGCGGCGTTTCTTTGTCCACAGTTAGACTTCGGTCTCTGAGTATACACGAGTACATCCATGGCCATTGTCCGTAGAGAAGTCTGAGGGCCTTTATCTTCTGGAAACCCGGACCTTCCTGGTTTCCGGCTTTTGTCACCAGGAGAAGAAATTGGGTTTGTGGAGAAGAAAAACTGGGGGATAAGGCTGGTACCAGCGCCTGTCTGGGCTGTTTGTTCCACAGGGATGGAGGGAAGGGCTGGGATTGTGGTTCCTGTTGTGAGGGGACAGGCTGGTGATCAGCTCTCTCCAGGCTGGAGTTCCTCACAGGTCGGCTTTTGTCCCCACCCCCAGCCCCTTTTTTACTTTGATTTGCTTTGGGGCCACACCTGGTGGTGCTCAGGTTTTTGCTCCTGGCTCTGTGCTCAGGGATCACTCCTGGCGGTGCTGAGGGCCCATATTGTGGTGCCAGGAATTGGCCCCTGGCATGCAAGGCAAGTGCCTTACCAGCTTTACTATCTCTCCAGACTCTGTCCTGTTAACTTTTCCCCTTGTTTTCCTTTGAAAAAGTCAAGGATCCTAAGATGTAGATTATTGTGTGATTGTGTAACATTTCCGATTTTTAAAAATATTTTGGTTATAAATTAAACTTTTTCCTCTTTTTGTTTTGTTTTTGTTTTTGGGCTACCCCCAGCGATGCTCAGGGTCTACTTCTAGCTCCTTCTAGCTCTGTGCTCAGGGATCACTCCTGGCCTGGGGGACCATATGATGTGGTACCCGGGATTGAACCTGGGTTGGCCGTTTGTGTGTTTTTCTTTTTCTTTTTCTTTTTTTTTGGGGGGGGGTGTCACCCAGTGATACTCAGAGATTACTCCTGGCTCTTCACTCAGGTTTTACTCCTAGCGGTGCTGGGGGACCATATGGGATGCTGGGCATTGAACCTGGGTCGGCTGCGTGCAAGGCAAACGCCCTACCCATTGTGCTATCGCTCCAGCCCCCTAGGTTGGCCATTTGTAAGACAAGTACCTTACCTGCTGTCGTGTCTGGGCCCAGGTGGTGAATTAAATAAAAACCTTGTGGGCAGTGGAGGGCTTTTGGACAGCACCCATTAGTGTTCGGGGGTGTTCCTAGCCCAGTGCTGGGAGAATCCTGGTGGAGTTAATCTTGGACACACTGCAGCCCACTAGCTCACTCCAGCCTGTGAGTTAATTTTTTTTTTCCTTTTTGGGGTCATACCTGGTAATGCTCAGTGGTTATTCCTGGCTCTGCACTCAGGAATGACTCCTGGCAGTGCTTGGGGGACCATATGGGATGCCGAGAATCGAACCCAGGTCGGCCATGTGCAAGGCAAACGCCCTCCCACTGTACTATCACTCTGGCATGAGTTAAAACATTTTCTAAGAGTTTTGCAAGCTGAAGAAAGATCCAGCATGTGCGGCGGTAAGTCTCTCCAAGGACCATGAATACTACAGGGATCTTGGGTCTGGAGACTGGAAGTGTGGACCCCACGTTGCCCTTCCCGTGGGGTCGTGGCCCTCCCGACTGCTTTAAAACACGTGGTCCCGTGTGTTTCTTGCAGACCCCGGCTCCGCGGAGAGAACGGCCCAGAAGAGAAAGTTTCCTAGCCCTCCGCATTCTTCCAATGGCCACTCGCCACAGGACACCTCCACGAGCCCCATTAAAAAGAAAAAGAAGCCGGGCTTACTCAACAGTAACAATAAGGAGCAGGTAAAGGGCCACCGGCCACGGTGTCCTCCAGCCTGACTGTGTCCCCGGGGCCCCGAGACTCAGGGCGCTGGGCTCTGAGCCAGCCATCTGGTCAGGGACCTCCCCACCCCCCCAAAAGAGCAGCTTTGCCATGGCCTGTGTGGGAATGTCCAGCTTTGTTTGGGCAACAGTCTGTGACCCAGAGGAGGTAGACCCTGCGGTGTGGGATTTAGGGCACTTCTTCGTATGTCTCTGTTCTTACTTGAGAACTGTGTCCCCCATTGGGAGGGGGTGGGGTTGGGGCTGGGACCCGTCCAAGCTATGCTGTCGGGGGTGGAGGGCAGTGGGGGGGTGGTCGCGAGGCAGGAGCCTTCCCTTCCTGTCTCAGTTTTCTCATCTGTAAAGTAACCCGTGTAGGTCTGTGGTGAGAGATGGTTGCTCCTTCTTTTCCGGAGCTTCCTGTCCCGTTTTTGGTTCTTTATTATTATTATTATTTTCTTTTCCTATTTTGGGTCACATCCGGTGATGCTCAGGGGTTACTCCTGGCTTTGCACTCAGGAATTAGTCCTGGCGGTGCTCTGGGGAACCCTATGGGATGCCGGGGATTGAACCCGGGTTGGCCGCGTGCAAGGCGAACGCCCTCCCCGCTGTGCTATCGCGACAGCCCCTCGTTTTTGGTTCTTGTCTAAGGAACCTTGACGCTTGAAAATGCTTTGGTGCAGAGTACGAATTTCAAACAAAGCAGAGGTCCCCAGGGCCAGGGAGATGGCTTAGCGAGGGCTTTGCATGTGGCAGCTCAGATCCGGATCCAGGCCTGCGTGATGCCCCCAAATACCACCGCGCCTGTACTAATCCACCAGCCCCTCCCTCCCCCGAAAAAACCTCCCCCAAAGCGTTGGCTGATGCCCCATGAGGTCAGCTTGCCAAGCACGGGCTCCAGGATGCCCCCTTGGCACCGCGAGTGCTCGCAGGGAACCCTCGGCTGCATTTCGTCTGTTTGGCGCCTTCTGGAGCACGGAAGTGGGCCCTGGGGAGCAGAGTGGAATCAAATCAGATTGTTGCTTTCCCAGGCAGGGGCCTAGCAACGGTGAGAGGCCCAGGCCTGCGGGAGGGGTCCAGTTCTGCCCGCTCTAATCTATTTTCTCCCTCCAAATGACACAGCCAGATGCCGAGTCTGCCTTCGCGGTGTGGCTGTGGGCGGTTTAACCTCTTTCTGCCCGATTCTTCTCTTCAAGGGAGCCGGGACTAATGATGCTCTTGCCCCTGATGTCACGAGGTTGTTGGGGAGATGAATTGAGCCAAATGGCATAAATAATAATGAGCAGAAACATTAAGTCGGGCTCGGCGCTAAGTGGCCGCCTCGCACCCGCGCGACGTGAATGAGCTAAACAATGGCCCTAGAGACGCGTCGCCCCGTGCTGTTCGCGGCCACCGCCATCAGCCACGCGTGGCACCCGCAGCACTTGAACACAGCCAATGTGACCGAGGAAGAGCGTCGGGAATTTTATTTAATTCCACTGTAAGTGGCTGCCTGTGGCTGCCGGCAGCTTTGTTGTGCAGCACGGGTCGAGAGAGGGGGACGGCAGGCGCGAGCAGAGATTGGCGGGCGCTGAAGAGATTGCTGAAGGGCCGCCTCTCGAGAGAACAGCAGCAGTTGGAGCGGTGGTTGGGGGGGTGCGTCGCCCTGGCCTGGAATTTTCCCGATGAAAGGAGGATTTTTGCTTTTTGGGTCATACCCGGCGTTGCCCAGGGGTTGCTCCTGGCTCTGCACTCAGGAATCACTCCTGGCGGTGCTCAGGGGACCCTATGGGATGCTGGGAATCGAACCCGGGTCAGCCGCGTGCAAGGCAAATGCCCTCCCCGCTGTGCTATCGCTCCAGCCTGAGCGGTGGATCTTTATGGGGGGGTGACAGCCCTGTGACTGTGACTGCAGGATGCCACCGACAAGCTCCCTTTGACAGATGGAGACCCCGAGGTTCAGAGAGAGACAGGGTGCCCCCCTGTCTCTCTCTGGGTGTGCGTGGGATACTGAGCAACCCAATCCCCCCCCCCCCCCCCCCCCCCGCAAACCGGAAGCTGTGTTTAATCCTTGTTCTACACGTGGGGCTGTAAGCCAGTGACCGACCCACTCTCCCCTAGTCTGTCCCTTGGGAGCTGTCCCCCCTAGGTGACATTCGAGTCTGAGGAAGTCAGCCACAACAAGGTCACAGGTTTTGTTATTTTGGTTTTGGGGCCAACCCACGGTGGTGCTCTGGCCTTATTCCTCTCTCTGCACTCAGAGATCATCCCTGGCAGGCTCAGGGGACCCTGCGGGGTACTGGGGCTCGAACCCGGGTTGGCCATGTGCGAGGCCCGCCCTCTGCGCTGTTCTGTCTCTCCAGCCCTGCGGTGAGCTCCCCAGACTGTCCCTCCTCTGCTTCCTGGACAGACCTTCTCTGGCCTCTCAGCAGCGGGCCCGGAAGCAGGTCCCTGCTCTGAGCTACCTCCCGCCTCCCTCTCAGCCGGCGTCCCCAGCTGCTCCCTCTTTCTGGCATTTTCTGCTCTCCCTCCCCACCCCTGTGTTAATACCATTTCCCTGTCACTTAAGCCGCATGAGCACAGCCCTGTGCTGAGAACTTGGTGTCCCACATTGACCTAGTGGCCTTCAGAGTGTGACCCAGGCTCCGGCAGCTGCGGCCCCCCCCGCCCACCCCCCCGGCTCCCTGTGCCACCCGCAGGCCGACACATGGTGGGTGCTTGTGACTTCAGGCCTCCTGCCACGCGTGGGAGACAGCGCAGCCCGGGAAGTACACCCAAGGGCTAGTTCCGCTCATGGTTCTTAGTAGAGATGGAAGCGTCTAGGGATGAGGGGCTGGTGCCATAGGACAGTGGGTAGGGCACTACCTGGCATGCAGCCCACCTGGGTTCTGTCCCTGGCATCCCCTGTGGTCGTCAGGAGTAACCCCTGAGCAGTGCTTGGTGTGGGTGTGATCCCAAACACACAGACACACACACACAGGAGTAACTGAGTACTGATTGGTGTGATCCCAAACACACACACACACACACACACACACACACACACACACACACACAGAGGAGTAACCCCTGAGCACTGCTTGGTGTGGTCTCTCTCTTTTTCTCTCTCTCTTTCTCTCTCTCTCTTTCTCTCTCTCTCACACACACACACACACATACACACACGAGTAACCCCTGAGCACTGCTGGTTGTGGTCCCCAAAAGGTGTGCGTCCCCCCTACTCCCCAACAGTGTTTTAGGGACAGGGAGCTGCTGGAGGGACGTTGTCCAGCCCTGGTGCCTGGGAAGCCTCTCTGTGACCTCGTCACTTGCTCCTCCCCCGCCCCCCTTCTGAGCTGCAGTTACTATGTCAACTAGGAGTTGGGACCCGGCGCATTGGAGGCTGGTGGCCGCTTGTTTTCTCAGCTCTGAAATTCCCCGGGGCTGACCAGTTGGGAATGGGCCGAGGAGAATAGCCCAACTGTAGAGACAAAATTCCTGACCTGTGACCCCATCGTTCATTCACACACAAAATATTTGCCTAGTCTGGGCTTTACTCCTTCCTGTAGAGTCCCTTCTTCTCGAGAGAAACCTTAAATCCCTTTAGGAAGAGACAAAATAAATCCTTCCTGGGACTGGAGTGAGTGATAGTCCAGCGGGTTGGGCGTTTGCCAGAAGATCTTGTCCCCCAGCAGAAGCTGACCAGACCCTCCGGACGCGTTTTCTCTCTCTTTTATTAGAGCTCAAATAGAATGGAATTAAAAGCAGATCATGAACTTGAACTGCTGTTTGGTCCAAGTAATAAAATTCTGTTGGTTGCCGTTACTTTGAGCATCCATGAGATTTCACATAAAAACTTGCATTTTTGAGTTCGTAGGAAAGTGGGGAAAAAAAGTTAGCAGCAGCCGAGAGGGTTCTCTGACTCTGCGCTCCCATCCCACATAGTCCCCGCCTGCTCCCCTCCTTCTGCCCCTGGCCTCTGAGATGCTTCTCACTTTGAACTCATGCAAGATTCTCCGACCTGTCTTCCTTCCCTCTGCTGTAATTTTTTTTTTTCTATATTGCACTGTTCAGAAAACAAATCAAGATCACAGCAAAATTTTGGTCTACATCTTTTATTGCCAAGTGGAGGAAGGAGGATTGAGTTGGTTAGACCCCTCTCTTTTTTCATACATCGTGAATTCCTATCGTGAAGCGTTAAGAATAATAGCTCTGAAGTTGCTCTATTTTTAGGGGCTGGGAAGATAGTACAGGGGCTAGGACGTTGATAGGGTGACCCCATTTCAATCCCTGGCCCTTCCTGGTCCCCTGAGCATCACTGGGTGCAGTCCTGGGAACCCGTGAGCATCCCTGGGGTGGCCCTGGTGGTCCCACACTGTGGGGCTCGTGCAGCCCCACATCCCGGGACCTACCGGAAACTGATGGATGGAGACTTCCAGGAGTGGCTCCAGGCCAGCTGTAGTGTCTTTCGAGCCCTGAGCTGGAACTGTCTTTCGGTTACTGTTTGCTTGCTTGGTTTTGGGCCGCACCTGTGGGGGATGATACGAAATAGTAGGATTCGAACCAGGGTCAGCCACACGGAAGGCCAGCGCCATCATCCCTGTACTATTTCTCTGGCCCCAATTTAATTTTTTTCCCTTTTTTTTTTTTTGGAGGCGGGGGCCACAGTTGGCAGTGCTCAGAGGTTACCACTGGCTTGGCACGCAGGGATCACTCCTGGCGGGGCTCATGGGACCAAACCCAGGTCGGCTATGTGCAAAACCAGCACCCTACCCACTGTGCTATCCCTCCAAGGTTTATAACTCCTTTTTTATTCTTTCATTTGGGGCTTACTCCCTGCAGCGCCCAGGCAACCACGGGCTGCAAAGCAGGTGCTCAGCCCTTTGGATCGATCTCCGTGTCCCTCTAAGAATTTTGAAAACTTTGTTTTTTACAGGGCCGGAACGATAACATAACAAGTAGGGCATTTGCCTTGCATGTGGCCGACCCGGGTTCGATTCCTCCGCCCCTCTTGGAGAGCCCGGCAAGCTACCCAGAGTATCCTGCCTGCACAGCAAAGCCTGGCAAGCTACCTGTGATGTATTTGATATGCCAAAAACACTAACAAGTCTCACAATGGAGATGTTATTGGTGCCCGCTCGAGCAAATCGATGAACAGCGGGAGGACAGTGCTGCAGTGGTTTTTGCAGTGGTTTTCACCTTTAGCAGAGGTTTGAAAACATGTAGGCGCTATTTCTGGATTTGTTGTGGCGGATCATTGAACTTGGACGCACCTGGCTTTTTAATTTTTCTTTGTTTCTATTTTGGTTTTTGGACTCCAACTAGCTGTGCTCAGGGGCTACACCTGGCTGTGTGCTCAGGGGTCACTCCTGGGGGTGCCTGGGTTGTAGCCAGGGTACCTCAGTCACCTTACTGCGCTCTCTCTCTCTCTCTCTCCCTCTCTCTCTCTCTCTCTCTGGCCCCGCCACTCTGGCATTTTATTGCGGTGTCAGATTGCTTGGTACTCTGCCATAGATGAGATGCATGAATGTCTAGCTCACAAGTGACAGGAAGGCTGAGCTGACAGATATCACAGTCCTCAGTGCTCAAGACCCCAGAGTTCTTTTTTTTTTATTTTGTGGGTAGGGCTGGAGCGATAGCACATTGGTAGGGTGTTTGCCTTGCACGCAGCCAGCCCGGGTGAGCCGGGTTCAATTCCTGCGCCCCTCTCAAAGAGCCCTGCAAGCTACCGAGAGTATCTCGCCCGCACGGCAGAGCCTGGCAAGCTCCTGTGACGTATTCAATATATCAAACACAGTAACAACAAGTCTCACAATGGAGAGACGTTACTGGGCCCGCTCGAGCAAATCGATGAATAATGGGAGGGCTGTGACCATGACCGTGGGTGGGGGTAGGGAACTCATTAATGATGGGAAAACGTAAAGGATTTATAAATGGGTGAAATCCTCCTCCCTGATTTGTCTACAATGGCTTCGCTTACAGCTTTCATCGGAACCAGCTGGGAAAGCTGGTAACTGCCCTCTTCCTGAGCACAGAGGAGGTTTACCAAGGCCAGCCGAAGATGGCTGTGCTGGGTCCCTGCCTTCCTGCAGACACAGGTTCTCTGTTGGGTGGGGACGGGATTAGACAGGTGTGACAGTTGAGGGGGACGGAAGGATTATTGCCAGCTTCTCCCAGGGGTGAGGCCAGACTCGCCCTGTGTCCTTGGTCAGGAGCTGAGCGAGGGCCGCCCTGGAAGATGAGCCCCACCCTCTCTGCCATGGCTGGGCTGAAGGCCCGTGCTGGCTGTGTGTCCCCGGGCTGAGATGCTTGAAGTCCTTCCCTTGTAGCCAGTGCAGAGAACAAAAGCCCGAGCGTGACCCGGCTTCCTTCCTGTATGTCAAAGCTAACTAGGCCCCATATCCGGAGGAGTTGGAGTTTGTCCTCTCACTCAGTGCCATCCCCAACAGGGACAGACAGACAGGCAGAGAGACAGACACACATCTGCACCCCCCACCCACCCTCTCTGGTTTATGCAGATCCGTGTGTCAAAGCGCAGCGGTGTGAGACAGATGCAACTCAGGACATGTGTTTGTCAATAAAGTTTTATTGACACACAGCTGCATGCATTCATTCATTCATTCATTCATTTGTCCATTGTGTGTGTGTTGCTTGTACTCTAGCCTGGTAGGAATTGAGTTGGTGCGTTAGGGACTTTCAGAGCTTTAAGTCGCTATCTTTATAGACCACTCCCCTATAGAAAGAGTTGACGGGCTCCTGGGGTCCAGCAGGTTTTCTGGCAGCTAGTGAACATGCCAGTCTGTTTTCCAGTGAGGCCAAACTGTGGGAAAAGCAGGGAAATGAGAACGTTTGCTCCTTTAACCTGCAATTATCCTGTAACAACACAGCTTGCAACCTGTTTGCCTTCCTAGCAGGCTGGTAACACACCTTGTCGTGTTGGGAGAGAAAATCATCAAGTCATAGCTCATTTTACCGGGAATGTCTTTCTTTCCTGTTTGGACGGTTCCATATTAGTTATCAGATGAGTTTTATTGGGTAGGAAACACAAGCGGTAAATACTGCAGATAACTAATTGACAAGATCATCAGGCACCTAATTCTCTGCTGCTTTAGGAGAGGGTGAAGTCTAGTGTTTTGCGTGCGTGTGTGCGTGCGTGCGTGTGTGTGTGTGTGTGTGTGTGTGTGTGTGTGTGTCTTTTGATCTGTCTGCATGACTGGATAGTGGATAGTATAGCTGGTAAGGGGGTAAGGCACTTACCTTACCCGTTCCTGATGCAGGTTCAATCCCCAGCATCCCATATGGTGCATCCCTTCCACCCTGTACCAGCACTGTAACCAGGAGTGGTAATTCCTGAATGCAGAGTCAGGAGTGATTCCTAAACATCGCTGCATATGAAAGGCTGCTGGGCTCTCCGAGAGGGACAAAGGAATCATGCCTGGGTCAGCCGTGTGCAAGGCAAATACCCTTCCCGCTGTGCTATCGCTCCAGCCCATGAAAAGCCCAAAGGGGGGAAAAATCTATCTGCAATGAATATTAACTATATAGAAACTAAAATGGAAAAAGGCCCCATTCATAGTATCCACCCCATCTCTGCGGACTCTAGCCTGTGTATCAGCCGTGGAGGGAGGGAACTGGAATGTTTAATTGATGGATATATCCGGGGTTTGTCACTCTGCAACATGAGCCTGATTCATGGTCGGCGCTGTGGTGAGTTAGTTTCTGGGTTCTTTTACTGAGTCATCAAGGCCTCGAGTCGGTTGGGTCATTTCTCCAAAGGTCACACAGTTTCCAGGTTATTGTTGATGACTTTCATCAGATTTATTCCAGCTTCACTCGTTTCTGTTTTTCTTTCTTTTTGTTTTGCGGCCATGCTTGGCTGTGCTCAGGGCTTCTGGCTCTGCTCAGGGATCACTCCTGGTGGTGCTCAGGAGCCCCTCTGTGGCACTAAGGATCACCAACGGAGGTCACCCATGTCAAGGCCAATGCCTTAACTCTAGCTGGACTATCTTTCTGACCTTCTTTTGGGGAAGGGTGGGTTTGGGCCATAGTGTGTGATCGGCTCCATGCTCAATACTTGGGTATCACTCCCAGTTTTACCCGGGGAACCACATGATACGGGTAATATTGCTCAGGGCTCCTGTAGGCGTGACTTACACACAGCCCATTGAACCATCTTCGTGGCCCTTGTCGACAGCGTTTTGTATTAGTTTCTGATAGAATTTTACTAACGAGTTTCTACTGGTGATTTTGTGTGTTTGGAATGTGACTTTGTTGAGTCTAATAGATCATTAGGGACATATTTCTCCTCTTGGAAGAAGCTGGACTCCTGTAAGTTGGCCACTCCTCTCATTTTTCTGCCATTACTGTTTCTAAATAAATGTTATTACATAAATATGAGTTCTTACTCATTTCATTCATTTCATCATCCTGTTAATCGTCGATTGCCTCGAGCAGGCCCCAGTAACGTCTCTTTCATCCTAGCCCTGAGATTATATTCACGGCTCTTTAGGAGAATGAGACCCATCATTGTTACTGGTATTTGGCATATTTGGTACGCCACGGGGAGTTTGCCAGACTCTGCCCTGTGGGCAGGCTATATTCGATAGCCTGCAAGTTTGTCCAAAGTAAGAATGAGATAATAAGATGTCACAAAAAAGATTTCCTGATAAGATGTCGCACGGCCCATTCGGTTCCGGGATCTGGATTTTATAGTCTCTGAGTCTTGGCCGCTGATGGGATTACACGGCGCCAGGGGGCCAGGTGGTGGGTGTGACCCCCGCCTACTGGAATTTGGAGGATCTGGGTGGAGGATGCTCGACTCCAATTCGAGTAGGCTTGGAGGTCTCGGCCCCGGAACCCGCGTGGCTTTGTCCCTCTGCCAGTACCTTCATGTGTGCGGAGAGTGGTCTCAGCATGGTGGTGGCTGGTCCTGGAGGTCTTCGGCTGCCGGAGCCCCGGTCGGGGCGGGGAGGAAAGCTTGACCCGCTCCCCTCCAAGGGGTCCCGGCGAGGGACACCCAGGCGCGGGGGCAAAAGACTGAGTTCTTACTATAACCAAGAAATGAGTTCTTACCATAACCAAGAATTCAGGCTTTAGGAAGCCTTTTTTTGGAGGGTGGGTGGAGGTGGGGCTGGGTTTTGAGCCATACCTGGCTCAAATGGCTCAGGGGGCCATTTGAGGTGCTGGGGATCAAACGTGTTTTGGCTGCATGCCAGGCAAGTACCTTACCTCCTGTACTATCACTCTGGCCCTGGGAAACCTCTTGTGGGTTCATAAGTACTTTGTGCATTAGGGGAAACTTTAAAAAATAAATGACTTTTTTTTTTTTGTGGGGGGTGCATTTGACTCCAGTTAAATGCCTGCTGTTCAAAGAATCGCTGAGTTCATTGTTGGCCTTGGACTTTTAGGCTTTCATACATTGGACTCTTAACCATATTGGAAATTTTAATCATGGTGGGAGGATGTTAAATATATACAGCATGGCATCCTACAAAAATTCACCCAGACATTGTACTGTGAAATTAGGCGTTTTTTGAACTTCCGTTTTACAGATGAGAAAATTGAAGTGGATGGGTGAGACTTCCCTGGGGCCCCACAACGGGAAGAACTGATATTTGAACCCAAATAAAGGCCTGGTATCAGCCAGTATTCTGCCTGCTACCTCTTAGCTGCCAGCGTTTCAACCCCTGACCTCTTAGAGTGGGAGGAAGAGAATCTGATGACCTCAGAAACCCCAGACCTTTGTATTCCGAGAATAACCCCAGGATGGCTTTGTTGGGAATGTGTGAAATGCTGTAATTTTTCTCTTGTTGTCACTGATGTGTTTGTTCAACTTCCTTTTGAGAATGCACCTTTGTTTTGAAACCAAACCTGTCTCTCTTGCCTACATTCCAGTCAGAACTAAGACATGGTCCGTTTTACTATATGAAGCAGCCACTCACCACAGACCCTGTTGATGTTGTACCGCAGGATGGACGGAATGATTTCTACTGCTGGGTTTGTCACCGGGAAGGCCAAGTCCTTTGCTGTGAGCTCTGTCCCCGGGTTTATCACGCTAAGTGTCTGAGACTGACTTCGGAACCAGAGGGGGACTGGTTTTGTCCTGAGTGTGAGGTTAGTTCCCCGTGAATGAATGCATTGTCTGCCTCATTTCCTCTCCTTTCTCTTCCTTCCATCTTCTTTTGAAATTTTCAACCACTCCGGATGCAGCAGTTACGGCAGTTCTATGTGGTCACGCCCCTTTTATCTTTTGGACGGATGGACATCGCCGGGCCTCGGCTTGTAGCACTTCGGCAGACTGTGGCACCAAGGACCGTTGGAAATGCTTCATGCGTTAGCCTGTGACCTCAGGCTGCTCCAAGTCTCCTGTAACGGCTGTCCCAGAAGTCAACTCTCAGAGCGCCACCAGTGTCTCTTGTCTCAGAAAGATGGATCCTTTGGTTTCCCGCTTCCTGGATGTTATCTATACGCTGTCTTTGGACCGTCCACCCGAGCCAAGCCTGGAAGACCCATTTTGGTTGTAACGCCTCAAGGGTGCCGGTCCCTTGCTCCATGCTATTAGCGTTTTTCAAGTCTCTCTTAGCAGTTGGGTATTCACGGTGACCCAAAATTTGAGGCACAGTCACTTTTTCTTTTCTTCTTCTTTTTTTTTATTAAGAGGAGAGAAGTACAAAAATGGAAGTGTCCAGTGTGCTGGGAGCAGAATTCTACCGGAAGGGAAAGGAACACGCGGGTTGAGGCGGAAGGCGTTTGCACTTGACATGCAGAGATGGGGGAGGCCACTGGAAGGTTTGAGAAGGCCCAGAAAGGGGAGCAGTTCTGGCAGTTACTGGAAAAAGCTGCCACTTAGATTCAAAGAGAGACTGGGATTAAGGCCTCAGAAGAGGAAGCTCTGTAGATACCTTTAGTGGGAAAAACCCAGGCCACAGGCCAGCATCTGTGGTACGGTTGTATGTATTCGGGGAAGAAGGAGCCAGGCATCAGACCAACATGGATGTCTTCTATTTATTTATTTATTTATTTATTTACCCTTTTTGGGTCACACAGGAGATGCTCAGGGGTTCCTCCTGGCTCTGCACTCAGGAGTTACTCCTGGTGGTGCTCAGGGGACCCTATGGGATGCTGGGAATCAAACTTGGGTCGGCCGCGTGCAAGGCAAACGCCCTACCCGCTGTGCTATCTCTCCAACCCCAATTTTGATGTCTTAATGAGAATATAACACTAAAATGTCAGAAAGTGGCCTTATTTTTTTTTTGCGACTCTGATGCTAAAGTCCAGAGCGTACACTTTGCCCAGAGATGACCCTTTGTTCAGAATCTGACCACCTCTGCTGTGGGAATGAGGATTCAGGGGTGCTGATCTGGACACTGAGTTCACATAGCTGAGCCTGGTCGGAGGCATTTCTCTTTGTTTTTTTCTACCTTGACCGTTTTCCAGTTGTTTACCAATGCTGCAGAGTGAAAGTGGCTGAGATAGGATGCTTTTTCTCCAAAGAGCAAAAGTCAGGCCAGTGGGCTGCCAACCATCGAATTTATGGCCAACTCAGGGAGCTTGAACCTGAGGCCAGCCAGGGCAGCGTCTCTCAGAACGGAGCTCTTCCCTTCTTACTTTTGAGACCAGACAGTGGCTCTTGTGGGTGTTTTATCACCCTGGGGCTCATACACCAGGATCGCGGCCTCTTTTCCTCTGCTGCTGTGACCGGAAGTGCTGATCTGACACTTCCTGGAAACCAGGCATTGCCGGCATAGACGAAAGTGGAATGACAGTTTACCAGGAAGTGCCCAAGTCCACCCTGGAGAGTCACCCGGAAATGAAAGTAAATGAAAGTAAAGGCATTTCACCGGGAAGATGAGCCGTGTGGGCCTCTGCCGCCCAGGCTTGGAGGTTTGCACCTTCCGGTGTTAAGCTCCTGAGTGATTCTGCTGTTTCTGTTGCTCTTTCGCTCCCTGTCAGCATCTGGAAGTTCCTTTGGGAGCATCCTTGGCAAGGATGGAAGCGCGTGTCCAAAAGAATAGGAGAAAGCGTTTTCTCCCTCGGGTCTCCCTGCAGATGGTTACAGAGCATGTCCTGATGTCATCAAGAATTCTGCTGCTCGGAAGGATTCAGGGGTGCTGATCTGGACACCGAGTTCACATAGCTGAGCCTGGCCGGAGGCGTTTCTCCGGACCTTTCGGCTGCTGGGAATTTCCCTGGGAAAGTGACATTGCTTGTCCGTGGAGACCAGACGGCTCGATGATTCTCCTTCCAGAGCCTTGCAGAACGTCCTCGGTGGAGCCACATCTGTGGTGACAGAGGATGAAGTCATCGTTATTATTAGTCTGCTGTCATCCTTTGGATTCTTTCTGCAGGGAAGACTGTCCTTCCGCCGGTGATGTCATTGAATTCAGGCCCTGTCAGTGTCTGAGAGATGGCCCAGAACCTTAAGAGGATCAAGTGAAGCCGCTGACAGAGATCTTTCCTTTCCGATCCCATTCTTGAAACCCAAGGTCATTACAATGAGAAAATTTCAAATCCCTTTGCCACCTGCGATTTTCTCAGATTATGTCCTCGTCCCGAGCTACCACCGGTTCCTACTCAGGGAATCGATGGCTCAGGGGGGCTTACTGATTATTGATTATGGTTGGCACCAAGCCCCCGTGCATGCTAATCAAGCAGACGCAGATTGGCACCATCCCGTGTTGATGGGGATGGTTTTTGACGTGCGGACATACTGGAAAATCAGGAGGGAAAGGAAATAGGTTCACTGCCAGTCACTTTCTCTTTCCTAACTGGCCGTCTGTGTGGTTTTGACTTGTAGAAGATCACAGTGGCAGAATGCATCGAGACCCAGAGCAAAGCCATGACGATGCTTACCATCGAACAGCTGTCTTACCTGCTGAAGTTTGCCATTCAGAAAATGAAGCAGCCAGGGGTAAGAACCGAGTTCCCGTTGGTGCTCGTGACCGGGGGCAGAGCGGCCCCGTTGGTGGTGCTCTTAACATTCTTGTTCCTTGTAACCTTAGCTTTTCCAGACACCCGTGTTTACCGTTTGGGCCTTCTTGTGTGCCAGAATTCGAGTTTCTGTCAGTTAAACACAAGGTACCATGGCATGCAGGTAATTCTGTCTAGCCAGCACTCCGTGTCCCACAGGAGTCTGATCGAGAGGGAACCCGGGGCAGGAAGTCGGCGGGGATTGGAAGTTGTGATGGGTCCTGGAGAGATGAGGGGCGAGCGTCCTGTTGCTACTCGGGGGAATTTGTAAAATTCCATTTCAGTGAGAGAACCAACCGAGCAGAGCCCAGTTTATTTATAACTGATGTCTGATGATGAAACGTTCAGACTTTCAAGTAAAACCCAGCAGTGTGATTCCCATAAAGGGCGAGACTGGAGTTGGTGCCTTTTACTTCTGAAGTGGGACGGGACCTCTGGCCTGCCTGAAGGAAAGTGTGGTGTGAGAGCCAACGGCCGCAGTCAGCCGCCAAGTGCTGTACGTCACCGTGGTTCGCTTCCCACTTAGAATATCACAGTCGCGGTGGTTGGAAGGTTTTGGTGACAGTTTTCAGGAGATTGGCAGTAAAATAGATTGTTTCTAAAAATACGTTATGTCAATAGTCAACATATCATGACATTCTCCTCCAGAGGAATGTAAAGATGAGCTCCCTTTTCTGATGGGCACCATCTGTGCCAGGAATGCGTTTTTGTGAAGCTGCCGTTCTCTTTCTGAGTCAGAGGAGTGTGAAACTCCGGGCTTTCAGGAGCCATTGCGGTGTAATTTCTTTAAAAATAAAAAAGGCAACATGCTTCATTTTGGAGATTATGCTCTGAAATGTGATACCGGGATGAAGGATTCATTGCAGGCCGGTTGGGCACTGCTGAATTGGGAGTTTATCTCACCAGATCTCAGCCTGTGGGAAACCAAAGGGTATGGCTTTGGTTTGGCTAGAGAAGAAAAGGTTTTTTTTTTTTTAAATAAAATACTGAACCATTTCCATTTTGATGTCGAGCGACAAGAAGTTGGTTTCTGCTTTTCAGTTTGCTGAAGATGGTTTTCACAAAGAATAGGTTTTCAAAAAGGATATTCGTGTGGAGTGAGATCATAAAGCAGAAAGTTGAAGGTGTTAATTTCTCACATCAGTTGTTTGAGATAAAGTCAGCTGCATGGAAGTGGAAAGTTGCTGATTTGTTTCTCTTTTCTCTCTAATTTTAAAACTGACAATGGCTACCTTTTAACTCTGAATCGCAGAGAGCTTAGTTCACTGCCCGTGGGAAGCCATTCTGATGCTTGAGTGGAATAGAATTCAGTGTTTTAAATGAAGGTTTTTTTTAGATTTAATGATAAATACCACCCCATCAACCATCCAGGCCTGCATTTTGAGCTGAATTTGGAAGTGGTTGGCAAACTTTCACACTGTCTGTGTTGAGGGTAATTTGGTAATTTCTCTCAGGAGAAAAAGAATTGGACTCTGGATTTTCCTTCCACGTGTGAAATGTCTGTTGGGACCCGGGGGCTTGACTGCGTACATGATGGACACTCTCTCTGTCAGCTCCAATCCCTGACATTTGCAGCGGGTAGATTCAAGTCTGAAGTTACCCATGGTGTGTGTTCTTGTCCATCTTCACCAGAGGTGGCGGAACCTGTAACTTAGATGTGTGGTGAAACCAGTGCAGCACCCTGGGCCCCGGGGAGTTGGTGTGCAGGTGGAATCTGAAGGTGAACCCTAGTGGAGTCCTTCCGGGTCATTCTTCGGGGCAGCCTTGAATATGGTGTCAGTGGAAACATCTCCATTGGAAATTCATGACTGAGCATCGGTGACCGGCCTTCCACAGCACTGGCCATCTCGTGTCAGCCAGGGTCTCTCTTTTTTCTTTTGTAGACAGATGCATTCCAGAAGCCTGTTCCGTTGGAACAACATCCCGACTACGCGGAATATATCTTCCATCCCATGGACCTTTGCACGTTGGAAAAGGTTGGCTTCCTTTGAAGGACCTCCCGTTGCTGAGATGACTGAACAGCTTGGCGTCCCGTGCTGTCCGCCCTCTCCAGCTGCAGGGCCGCTCTGTGTTCACTCCACTGTATTTTATTTAGGAGGAAGACCCCTTTAATCCCCCCTTCAGTTTTGTGTGTAGGGGGATGGGGCGTCAAAACCAGGGCATGTGCAAGGCAGGTGATGTTCTACCATTCGAGGCACGTCCTAGCCACTGATGCAAGAACTCTTTTTTTCCCCTTCCTTGGTTTGTTTATTGTTTTGATTTTGGGCCACCTCTGGTGGTGCTTGAAGTCCGTGCAGCGCCTGAAATCCATCCCGTGTGTCCTACATGCAAAGTGTGTGCTCCCATGCTGGGCTGTTTCTTCTGCTCGGATGGAAAAATAATCTCGATTCCTCGGATGGAAAAAACTCTTGATTCCGTCTCACCAGCTTTAGCATTCTTCCAAGCTTTGCAGTGGAGTGTTGAAATTCACTGATTAGCTCCAAACATTACCTCTGCCAGGGATTCTAGCTTTTAACCTAAAAACGCCACAGCTTCTAAGCAGTGGTGAATTGATTGATAGGAATCTTCCTTCCTCTTCTCTCTCAGAGGTGCTAATGAGAGCCGCGGGAGGGAAGAGGAGAAAATTAAGTGTCTGGGAAACCTCCAGATTGGCAATAAAGAGGTGGCGGCTTAGAAGTTGACTTATTATATCCATAAGGATAGTTCTGTAAATCCTGACGGTGTTTTTAAAAGTTCACAGTAAAATACCCTGCTGAAAATTATACTTGTAGCACTTACTTTTCCTTTACTCTTTTTTTTATCGAATCACTGTGAGATAGACCCTTGCAAAGGTGTTCGTGATTAGATTTCAGTTGTACAGTGTTCCGACACCCATCCTTCCACCAGTGCACACTTCCCAGCACCACTGTCCTCAGTTTCCCTTCCAGTACCCCTCACCTCCCACCCCCCAGCTTGTCTCTATGACAGGTGCTCTTTTCTTCTCTGTCTCTGTCTCTGTCTCTGTCTCTCTGTCTCTCTCTCTGTCTCTCTCTCTGTTTCCCTATCTCTCTCCTTTTGGGCAATGTGGTTTGCAATATTGATACTGAAAGGTCATTAGGAATATCCCCTTACCTGTTTTGACTCCCAGCACTTGTGACACTTTTTTTTTTTTTTCCTTTTTGGGTCACACCCGGCGATGCACAGGGGTTACTCCTGGCTCTGCACTCAGGAATTGCTCCTGGCGGTGCTCGGGGGACCATTATATGGGATGCTGGGAATTGAACCTGTGTCAGTCATGTTGGCTGCGTGCAAGGCAAACACCCTACCCGCTGTGCTGTTGCTCCAGCCAACTTGTGACTTTTTTTTTTTTTTCCTTTTTGGGTCACACCCGGCGATGCACAGGGGTTACTCCTGGCTCTGCACTCAGGAATTACCCCTGGCGGTGCTCATGGGACCATATGGGATGCTGGGAATCGAACCCGGGTCAGTGGCATGCAAGGCAAATGCCCTACCCGCTGTGCTATTGCTCCAGCCCCACTTGTGACACTTGATTCTACACATCACCCTGGTGCTTTCAAACTACTTTCACTTTAGTGTGTGGGAAGAAACGCACGGGTAAAAAGACGTGACTTCCTGCTGCCCGCACGTCTTGGTGCCCTCCTTTGTGCCTCCCAGTAATAATAACAGATCCAGCGTGTTTTGGGAAACTCACGCCGTCGTGATGTTCTAAAAAGAAGGCATTCCAAAGATAGAGGTGGCATCCTAGCTTTATAAATGAGTAGCTTGAGGACTTGCATACGTTCCTTTGTGCTACTAGCCCTCAGTTTCCCTTTCCGGATGAGACTGATGGTGAATAAATGAGTTCTTCCTTGAGTTCTCGGTCTTGGAGTGTGTGTGTACCATTCGCAGTAGAGCCATGAAGTACTCTGGCTTGTTGGAGGAAGCCGCGTTCTCACCAGCAGTGGATGAGAGAATTCAAGTTAGTGTCATGGATTTCATGACTGCATTTTCACAGAGGTATAGATCTATAAATACAAGAGCATCCTGAGAAATGAGGACACGTATTAATTAATTTGGCAAATGTCTGCGGTGCAAATTACGCCGATGCAGGTGTCGCTGGCTCGGGCTTGTGTGGACTCGGTGGTGATTGTGCTTCGTGGCTTTTTCTCCCCAGAACGCTAAAAAGAAAATGTACGGCTGCACGGAAGCCTTCCTGGCGGACGCCAAGTGGATCTTGCACAACTGCATCATTTACAATGGGGGTGAGTGACTGCGAGGCTCCTGCCCAAGCAGCTGGCTCTGGGGCTGGCCCGCTCTCACCCCGTATGGAACCGACTCCAGGGCCGGTACCCGAGAACACTCAGTTTCTCCAGTCAGCGACTGCTCGGCGTGGAAGGTCTGAGTACAAAGTGGCTGGTGGCTGTGACTGCCTTTCTTTTTATTAAAACTTAAAAAAAATGTAGCCTTGGCTGCTTCTCGGACTATCCCTGACGATGCTCAGGGCTTAACTCCCAACTCTGTGCTCATAATACAGAACTGGGAATTGACTTGGGGTTGGCCACATTCAAGAAAGAGCTTTATCTCCTGTATCATGTCTCTGTTGATATATTTATTTATTTTGGACTTGGGGTTACACCTGGCAGGACTTACTCCTGGCTCTGTACGCAGGGGTCACTCCTGGTGGTGCTCAGGTAGTTCTTAGACCAGGTGTGGAATTGTCATCAGCCATCAGCAAGGCAAGAACCTTATTGTCTATACTATCTCTTCAACCTCGCTACCTGTTTCTTTAAAATTTTTTCTTTTTTTGGTCTTTTTTTTTTTTTTGGGCGGGGGGCGGGGCTTGCAAGACCTAGCAGTTCTCAAGGCTTCCTTCTGGTTCTGTGCTCAGGGATCACTCCTGGTGGGCTCAGAGGACCCTATGAGGTGCTGGGGATGAATCCGGTTGGCCACAGACAGAGCAGATGCCCTCTCTGCTGTACCACCGCTCTGGTCCCTGTTCCTTGAAAAATTCTTGTCCCTTTATTGTTATTGCCTGCTGTTGAAAGGACCCAGGATCAAACACTTGCTTTGTGCCAGAGTGGCACCAGAGAGCCCAGACAGCAGTCCCACGGTCTTATGTTCTCTTTGGAGATGCCCACCACGGAACTGTCCGCGGGCCTGATTCTAATGGAGAAGCAATTTGAAGCAGTACAGCGAAGAGTTTATCCATCTCTTTTTGTTTATTTGACATACGAGCACATAACCCCCAAGTAGGATCCAGAGTATTTCTGTCACCTCTCTTCTATTTCCACTTGCCTCTTTTCAGTAACTCTATACCCCCAACAGGAAATTTTCTGTCACTATAGGTTAATTTTGCATTTTCTAGGATTTATCAATTCCTAAAGCCGTCTGGCTAATATGACACAATGTGATTTTTTTTTTTGATCCATGCATATCGGTATTTAGGTATTCATCTATGGTATTCATTTATATTGGTTATTTTTATTATTGAGTCATGTTTCTTCCATCAACAGTTTGTCCGCTAGCCTTGCTGATGATGGTTATTTGGCTTAGTTTTAAGTGCTTGACTGTTATGAATAAAGGCAGTCTGATTGTTCACGTGTGAGTTTTTTGTCTAGACATGTTTTCCCTTACGTACCTAGGAATGGTAAAGCTGGATCATTGACGGTTTCTGGTTAATTTTAAAAGAAATTGTACCTGATTTGCAAATATTGTTTCTGTTCCCATGAGTAGTGTTTATAGGAATGTTACTTTTCACCACCCGGGCAACATTTGATATTTGTCTTTGAAATTTTAGCCATTTGGGGCCGGAACGATGATAGTACAGCGCATGGGGCATTTGCCTTGCACGCGACCGACCCTGGTTCAGTCCCCGGCATTCCATATGGTCCCTCAAGCACCGCCAGGGGTAATTTCTCAGTGCAGAGTCAGGAGTAACCCCTCGGCATTGCTGGATGTGACCCCCAAAACAAAATAAATAAAGAACTTGCTGTTTTTTTTAAAAAAAGAAAAGAAATTTTAACCTTTCTTGGGGCTGGAGGGCCAATCCAGCAGCAGTTGAGGCGCTTGTATTCGTATGGGATGCTGGGATTGAACTGGGTTGGCCGTGTCCAAGGCAAATCCCGACCTCATATACCGTTGCTGCAGCTCCAAGTATAGAAGGGCAAATCCCACATCTTGTTTGCTGCATATCCCCCTGTGCCCAGCAGAGAATGCTTGTGCTTAAGGAGAGGTGTGTGAATAATTGTTCCAGCTTTTATTTATTTATTTATTTATTGCTTTTTGGGTCACACCCGGCAATGCACAGGGGGTTACTCCTGGCTTTGCACTCAGGAATGGCTCCTGGCGGTGCTTGGGGGACCCTATGGGATGCTGGGAATCAAGTCCCGATCAGCCGCGTGCAAGGCAAACACCCTACCTGCTGTGCTATCACTCCAGCCCCTTAGGGGCTTACTTCTGGCTTTGCACTCAGGGATCACTCTTGGAGGTCTTGGGGGACCATATCTGGTGTCAGGGATCGAACCCAGGTCAGCCACAGGCAAGACAAACGCCCTCCCCGCTGTACTATCACTCCATTCCCCCAGTGCGGCCTCTGAAGCGTCAACACCAAGCTGTGTATGAAGCACCAGCAAGCCTGGCTCTGACATATACTTCTTTCCTCTGCACCTTGCTTGGCTTCCACTGGCCGATACTAATCTGTAAACCCTAGGCGAAACCACATGTATAACTCAGACTCAGAGATGACTCATGGTTCTTTGCTCACAGCAGAAGTCGCCTATCTTGAAATGAATTTGAAGGTGGAAACTTCTGGTTTTTCTGCCTTGGGAGAAAGTCAGCAGGAACCATGGTGCTGATAGGAAGTCTCAAGGCCGGCCGTCGGCTGTTGGCATTTGGGCTACTTGATTCTTACTGTCTTGAATCACTCTTGTTTTCTTATTCCCTTAGGAAATCACAAATTGACACAAATAGCGAAAGTAGTCATCAAGATCTGTGAACATGAGGTACGTGTTCCCGCCGTCTCCTTGGAAATGGGCCCTCGTCAGGGACTGGAGTGGCCTCAGTGATCCTGCAGAATTTCCCAGCAGTAACTTGGCAAGAATTTAGAATTTGGAAAGGCCGAGACAGAGCCCCCTCTCTGCAGGGAAGATAAGGGCAACCTGGAGGAGACCACAGATTCTTCTTATTTTGTCTTTGGGCGACTTCCAGTGATGCTCGGGCGTTATTCCTGGCTCTGCTCTCAGGGACTACATGGGATGCTGGGGATTGAGCCTGGGTCAGCCACCTGCAAGGCACTTAACACCTGTCTGCTGTACTATTTCTCCAGCCCTTTTATTTATTTATTTATTTATTTATTTTTAATTTTTGGGTCATACCCCACTAGTGTTCGGGGTTTCACTCCTGCCTCAGTGCGTGAGGATCGAACTTGGGGTTCCCACACGTGCTTAGCGCACTGAAACATCTCTTAAGCCTTGAGAGATAGTTGTATGGTCTATGTATGTTCACTTAGTTTGAATGTTCTTTGGGGAGAAGAGATTTCTTTTTTTTTTTCTTTTTTTTCTTTTCGGGTCACACCTGGTGATGCTCAGGGCTTACTCCTGGCTTTGCACTCAGGAGTCACTCCTGGCAGTGCTCAGGGGACCATATGGGATGCTGGGAATCGAATCCTGGGTCGGCCGTGTGCAAGGCAAATGCCCTACCCGCTGTGCTATCACTCCAGCCCCCAAGATGCGCAGGGTCACGTCTGGTTGGTAGATGCTGACTGGCTGGCTGTGGATGGCACCTGCTGGGTACCAGGGTGGATGCAGGACCTGGCAAAGAGACGTAGCGTGGGTGGGGCGGATGATTGGCGTTGGTGAGAAGAAATGGCTTCATCTCTAGATGAGCCATCAGCTGGGCTTGGCTTCTTCCCTCATCTTCCCTCGAGCCAGCCCGTGGCAGCCGCGGGTCCCCGGGAACCACACATGCTTAGCTAACCTCGTCTTTCCCTTTGCAGATGAATGAGATCGAAGTCTGTCCAGAGTGTTACCTTGCTGCTTGTCAAAAACGAGATAACTGGTTTTGCGAGCCCTGTGTAAGTTGCATTTCTTTCTCACCTTCTTTTTCTGTTCCATCACCCCCCCCCCCACCCCCAAGGCAGCATCTTCTCTTAGCTGGATGTTTTGAAGAGAAACTGTTACTGATGGGATTGGGGTGCAGCGACAGGAGCCCAGGTGTCCTCCACCTGCAGGACTCAAGTCGCCAGACCTTGTGTCCTGATACCATGCAGGTGGGCAGGTACGGGCAGAGCTACTCCCGCAGGGGCGCGTCATGCGGGCAGGAGGCGAGGGTCTATTGTAAGAGGAATAGAATCACCTCCGTGGGTGAACTCGGGTCTCCGAATCGGCTCGCAGGAAGGGGGTGTCTGTAGAAAATCACCCCCGTGGGGCTGGAGAGATAGTACAGCGGGCAGGGTGTTTGCCTTGCACGCGGCCGACCCGGGTTCGATTCCCAGCATCCCATATGGTCCCCTGAGCACCGCCAGGAGTCACTCCTGAGTGCAGAGCCAGGAGTGTAACCCCTGTGCATCACCAGGTGTGAGCCAAAAAAGGCAAAAAAAAAAAATCACCCCCTTGATTGGCATTTCCCAAGCCGGTTGAGCAGACAGGAAGTGTGGTGGGACTGTGGGGACATGGGGGTGGGGGTGGCCGGGAATCAGCGTGGCACTCACGTGTCTTCTTGCTCCGTGGATTCCTGAGTAGAGGCAGCCGTGGCTGATGCCACCCCTGCATTTAGGCTTGGCTGAAGGTGTGTTTCACGCACCCTCACATTGCCTGTAAGCATCATTCTCTCGGCGTATGGGAGAGAGTGGGTTATCTTTTTTTCTTTTTCTTTTTTTTTCTTTTTGGGTCCCACCCGGCAATGCTCAGGGGTGACTCCTGGCTCTGCACTCAGGACTTACTCCTGGCGGTGCTCGGGAGACCATATGGGATATGGGATGCTGGGAATCGAACCCGGGTCGGCCGTGTGCAAGGCAAACGCCCTCCCCGCTGTGCCATCGCTCCAGCCCCAAGAGAGTGGGTCATCTTGCGTCCAGCCCACAGACCATCCCCTCGGGGCGGCCACGTAAGCCGGGTGCCATGACGCCCAGTGGTCAGCCTCACCGTTGAGTCGCTCTCCCAGCTTTGCCCCTCTTCACCGTGCTGATTCTCCCGCCGCCCCCCCCCACCAGGACGCCCCTTTGGAATCCTCCCTCCCTCCCCCCGTCAGCAGCCTGTGTATCACCCAGGCCGCGCTGTATCCTCTAGCTTTGTGTGTGTATCTTATCAACTCCGTGCAGACTCTGGATTTTGTGTTTCTTTTCCTAGAGCAATCCACATCCTTTGGTCTGGGCAAAACTGAAGGGGTTTCCGTTCTGGCCTGCCAAAGCCCTGAGGGACAAAGATGGGCAGGTGGATGCTCGATTCTTTGGACAACACGACAGGTGGGAGTTTGAAAGACGAAAACCAGGCTCGGCCTGGGCACTTCCAGCTGGCCCTTCGGTAGGGGCTGAGGAGGTGGTAATCTATTTATTGTCTGGTACCAACAAGTGACACGTTTTCCTTTCCTCCTCCTCCCTCCCTCCTTTTCCTCCTCCTCCCCTTCCTCCTCCTCTCCACCTCTTCCTCTTCCTTTCCTTTTCCGTTGCCCCAGGGGTGAGTGCCTGGCAAGACCAGTGCTCTAAGGCCTAGCACACCCCCCCCCCCCCCCCCCCCCCAGCCAGCGATCATGGGGTGACAATATTGGCCTGGACTGTGTTAAGCCTGACGGTAACTGGGCTTGGGTTTTCGTTCCTTTTTCTGAAAAGGTCGCTCTTTCAGAAAGGAGCCTTGCTTTTCTGGCTTTGTCGGGGAAGCCGGCCTCGGCTCTGTGGCTATTTTCAGTGCCGCTGTTCTTTTTTTTTTTTTTTGGAGGGGGGGGAGTTTCTGGAGTAAATTAAACTGCTGTGCAAATTGCTTTTCAAAATAATGCTTTCAGGGATCCCAAGTATTTCCCTCGATTGCCAGTAAATGAATCTCCGATCATTGTGCCGGCTAGTTTCCTCCTGTTTCCTTTTCTGTGAAGCGAAAATGGGAAATTACAAGGGGTTGCTGTTGTGACAGGTGCGGGCCCTCCCCTTCCCCTCTACTCACGGGGAAGTGAATTATTCCCGCTAATAGCAGTTCCTTCTCGACGCAGCCTCCCTGCGAGCTGCAGAACAACAGGTAGGCAGAGATGAGCAGCGGTTAATACCGCAGTTCTCGCTGAGCCTGTGAGGTTATGATTCAGTGAGGCAAAGACCCTTTTAAAGGCCTCCCAAGCAATTTGAGCAAGTGTGTTGAGTACATTTAAAATACATGTTCTAGGAATTACCCGTGCCCGGAGTAAAACACTGTTTATGTTTTTCCACAATGCCGCCATCTGAAATGTTGCTCTCTCGGTTCAGCGTAGCATGTCAGCTTGTACGGTACAGCAGGGAAGGAATTTCAGAGCGCCCTGCGGGATCATTTCCTCGGGCCCTCAGCAGTCCGTTGGCCGGCGACAAAAGGGAAATGGGTCGAGGGGGTCCTGGGTTTGATAGGAAGTAATAGGTTAGTTTGGATGTAAAGTTTCCTAAAAAAAATTCTTCGACTTTTTCACTCAATAAGAAAGGTGTGGCTGGAGTGATAATGTAGGGGGTAGAGTGTTTGCCTTGCACATGGCTGACCCGGGTTCGATCCCCGGCATCCCATAGGGTCCCCTGAGCACCGCCAGGAGTAATTCCCAAGTGCAGAGCCAGGAGGAACCCCTGAGCACTTCCGGGTGTGGTCCAAAACCCAAATGAAACAAAGTACATTGGGGATGCTGAAGGGAAGTGGCAGATACTGCCTTCATGTGTCCAATGGTGGCGACATAGAGGGGGAAAGACGGGATGGGCAGGTAGTAAGTAGTGGGGCCTCGGCAGGTTATTCCGGGGTGACTAGAGGGAGAAGGAGGAGGCCAGAGGGAGCCGGTGACCCTGTGGGGAAGCCCAGGTTTCGGGGTTCCAGTTTGGCTTGGATGGGATTGGGGGCCAAGGGATGGGGTCGGAGATGATGCTAGTGGAGGGCCAGGCCCTGGCCTGCAGTTTAAGGTCAGACGCCAGAGACCTGGGCAGCTGGGATCGAGGGGAGCACGCGGAGCTTGCTGAGCTGGCTCTGCACCCAGAGCCCTCGAGCCCATGACTGCGCTCACGGTTGCCCTTTCTGCAGACGCTCTTCCCATGCGAAGCTTCTAGAGGCTGTGGGGTCCCCACACGTCCCACTTCCTTGGAGCTGTCCACGGGTTCTGGGAGCAGAGAGCTGTCAGGAGCGGTCGCCCCCTTTTTGTGGACATTCAGCACCTTTGACTCCCACCCTGCCACCGTCTCCCCAGTGGGAACGTAGGACTGATCTCGACAAGCCACAGCCGAGCCTGGGTGGGTGGGGGGACCCCGGAGACCCCGGGGACCGGCTCTCCCTCCCCCCTACCCCCAGAGCTCGTGGCGGCACCACATCCCCCCGTCTGTTGTCTCCCGCACATGGTGGGAACTAAGCAGGACTGCGAGGGGCACCCTGAGCTGCTGCAAGACACTTGTGGGCAGATTGAGGGGGAACATCGGAGGAAGGACGGTGCAGGCCATCACGTGGCCAGTCTGAGTCAGTCCAGGTAGGGAGCGTTGGGCCGGGCACCAGCCACGTCCAGGCGTGTGCTGGAGAAGCCCCGTCACATGCTTTGTGCTTTTCCTTGTTTTCTTGGTTCTTTATAGTGCGAGTTTGTTTTGGGGCCACACCCACGATGCTCAGGGCTCACCCCCAACTCTGTGCTCAGGGATCACCCCCGGCGGGCCTTGGGGGACCATATGGGATGTCGGGGGATTGAACCCGGGTTGGCATTGTGCAAGCACACATTCTGCCCACTGTGCTGTCTCTCTGGCCTCTTACACTCTGGTCTTCGATTAGATTTTTCCCATTAAAATTTTCCCCTGCTCATACATCCGTTATAAAAAAGTAGAGCTGTCTTACAAGTGCCTCCAGGAAGAGGAATAAGCAAAAAAATCCCAAACAGTACGAGCTTGCAGAGCCACGGAGGAAGAACTTGCTCTCACTCCGCACTGGCTAGGCTGCAGGCTCTGGGTCCGGGGGGTTGGAGATGGGGACCATGGTGGGCCTCCTCTCCGCGAGCTATGCTCTGCCCCTGAGCTATTGCCCGGCCATTAAGGCCTTGTCTGAAGCTGCTTCTTAAACCCTCTTTGGGAGGAGTAAAGCCAAGTGAGGGAGCCTGCCCTCTCCTGCCCTCTCCTACCCTCTCCTGTCCTGGCCTGCCCTGGCCCGCCCCTGGCCCGCAGGCTTGGGTGCTGGGAGCCCGTCTCCTCTCCCTTTAGATCTTTCCTGGGCCTGCTCTATGGGCAAGGTAGCATTTGCCAGGTGGCTTAGAGGAAGGCCCTTGAGAGGCTGGTGGGAGGGAGGGAAGGAGGGAAGGAGGCGGCAGGGCCTGAGACCAGCGCAGCGTCTGTGTAGGGGTGGGGGCGGGGGCCCCTGGAGCCCCAGCTCACTGACTAGGTGCAGTTCCTTTGTTCTCCATCTTGGTGCCAGGCCTGTGTTTCCCAGGACACGGCGGCTCTGGGCATCCTGAGTGCTCTGCAGGCTTGTTCTTCCTAACTCCGGGGGCTGCCCACCCGGCTGTCGGCTGTTGGGGTCTCTGCAGCGTCCCTTGGAGGGTGCGAGATGTGCAGGTGACATCTGGGTTTAGCTGCTCCCCATCCCAAAGGGCTGCAGTTGTCCAGACTGTGCCCTGCATTCTGCACATGAAGGTGCCTTGTTTCTCTCCCAGGTCGACCACTCTTGAAAGCCAGCAGGGCGATGGTGACTGTTAAAATTGGGGTTCAGTGTACAGAGATAGCAAGGGATTTGAGGTGCGCCCACCTCTCCTGGAGACTGGGACTGTGTCCCCGTCATGCCCCAATCTCGCTGATGGGGCTCAGTCACCCTGGAGCACTGAAGGGCTGAGTCTCATTATACATCCTGGGGATTCACACTGAGCTTTCCAGCCCCATTGGCCAAGTGTCCCCAAAAGTGACCACCTCTCAAGGCTCCTGGGGAGGTTCCCCTTCCAAAGTGAAACGAGGTGAGGGGCTGGAGCCATAGCACAGCAGGTAGGGCATTTGCCTTGCACGTGGCTGACCCGGGTTCGATTCCCAGCATCCCATAGGGTCCCCCAAGCACCGCCAGGAGTAATTCATGAGTGCAGAGCCAGAAGTAACCCCTGAGCACTGCTGGGTGTGACCCCCCCACCCCCCCCCAAAAAAAAAAAGGAAAAGAAAAATGAGGGTGAATGTGTTCTGTAAGTGCTGGCAGCTGACTCTCCGGGGTCCATATCTTCCTGCGTCCCTCAGACCCCCCCAGACGCCTCCCTCCTGCGCCCTCTGTCTGGTTGTAGTTTATGGCCTGTGAAATCCAAAGGCCTCCCTGGCCAGGCATTCCCGCCAGCCCCCCAATTGCAGTGGGCGGAGCTGGGGCGTCTGGGCCGGCCTGCCTGCTTCCTGCCTCCTGGTGGTGGTGGCTGATGCCCACAGAGCAGCCCCGACTCTGTAGAACTGTGCCTGGTCAGAGTCGCAAAGATGATCCAGCTTGGAAGAGGAGGGGGCGCAGAGCACCCCCGCGCCTTGGGCCTGCTTTCAGACACTTTCCTTGTGAGGTGCCCCATATGCTCAAGACCCCGCGTCTCCTCCTAGGGGGCTGGTTTCCTCCTGTTTCCCTCACGCCCCGTGAAGAGCCCCGACTCTCTTTGCAGTGCTGGGGATCGAATCCAGGCCTTCACACAGCCAAGGCAGGTCCTGTTCCATAGCCTGGAGAACCCTAATTTTATTTATTTTTATTTTTAATTTTAATTTTTTTTTTTGCTTTTTGGGTCACACCCAGCGATGCACAGGGGTTACTCCTGGCTCATGCACTTAGGAATTACTCCTGGCGGTGCTCAGGGGACCATATGGGATGCTGGGAATCGAACCCGGGTCGGCCGCGTGCAAGGCAAACACTCTACCCGCTGTGCTATCGCTCCAGCCCCCCCAATTTAATTTTTTACATTTAAGAATGTTCTTGTTGATTTTTGAATCACACCTGGTAGTGCTCCGGGCTTACTCTTGGCTCTGTGCTCAGGGATGACTCTTGGTGGTATTCTGGGGGACCCTAAGGAAATCAGACCTGGGTTGTTTGTGTGCAAAGCAAGCACCCTGCTTGCTGTACCCCTTCTCTGGGCTGATACACGTTTTTGGGGTGCTTTTGGGCTGTACCCACTGGAACTCTAGGGCTTTTCCTGACTCTCTGCTCAGGGATCATTTTTGGCCCTTCTCAGGGAACTCTAAGTGATGTCGGGGATTGAACTGGGGTTGGCCACATGCAAGGTGAGCACATTACCCCCTATACTCTAGCCTCAAGAATTCCATTTGTAAATAAAGGGGGAAAAAAAAAAAGAATTCCATTTGTGGCAGCTGGAGGGATAGCACAGCAGGTAAGGCGTTTGCCTTGCACGCAGGCGACCTGGGTTTCATCCCCAGCATCCCATATGGTCACACCCCTGTGCATCGCTGGGTGTGACCCAAAAAGCAAAAAAAAAAAAAAAAAAAAAAAATTCCATTTGCTTGATTTTGGGCCACGCTGGCAGTACTCGGGGTTACTCCTGGCTCTGCACTCAGGAATTACTCCTGGCGGTGCTTAGGGGACCATATGGGATGCTGGGAGTCGAACCCGGGTCGGCCGCGTGCAAGGCTATGCTATCACTCCAGCCCCTATTTATTTTTATTTTGTTTTTGGTAGAGGGGACGGGTAATACCTTGCAGTGACCAGGGCTCTCTCCGGTTCTGTGCTCAGCGATCACTTCTGGCGGGCCCCGTGCCGGGACTCCACCCTAGGTCGGCTTCATCCCAAGCAAGCATACCCTACCTGTCATCTCTTACTCCCACCTCTGGAAATAGGTTTTGTGTTGAACCAGGTTAATAAACTCTCAGATCTGTTTTACTACCTCGTACCTGCTGTCCATAATAACGTTGTGCACATTTAAATGCTTATTTTTTTGTTCGTTTTTGTTTTTGGGCCATTCCTGATGATGCTCAGGGGTTCCTCCCGACTCTGCCCTCAGGAATCACTCCTGGAGGTGCTCTGGGGACCAGAGGGGGATGCCGGGGATCGAATCCGGGTCAGCCGCATGCAAGGCAAATGCCTCACCCGCTGCGTGTCTCTCCGGCATCACTTTTAAATGGTTCTGAGAGAGGGAAAGCCCTTGTGTTCCTTTGTGTCACAGTAAACTAAAGAAAAAAAAAAAACTCAGCAGCAGGGTCTGGGGACGTGGCCAAAGTGGATCTTAACCTCTTTCTCTTGTGCACCCCTAGGGCTTGGGTCCCGATAAATAACTGCTACCTCATGTCTAAAGAAATTCCTTTTTCTGTGAAAAAGACGAAAAGCATCTTTAACAGTGCAATGCAAGAGATGGAAGTTTACGTGGAGAACATCCGCCGGAAGTTTGGGGTGTTCAACTACTCCCCATTCCGGACGCCCTACACGCCCAACAGCCAGTACCAAATGCTGCTCGACCCCAGCAACCCCAGCGCCGGCGCCGCCAAGGTGGACAAGCAGGAGAAGGTCAAGCTCAACTTCGACATGACGGCGTCCCCCAAGATCCTGATGAGCAAGTCCCTGCTGAGCGGGGGGCCCGGCCGCAGGATCTCCCTCTCCGACATGCCCCGCTCGCCCATGAGCACAAACTCCTCCGTGCACACGGGCTCCGACGTGGAGCAGGACCCCGAGAAGAAGGCCACGTCCAGCCACTTCAGTGCCAGCGAGGAGTCCATGGACTTCCTGGACAAGAGCACAGGTCAGCCCCGGCGAGAGGTGCAGGTGGCCCGGGCCTCGTGTTTCAGGGTTCTCCCCAGCCCCCCAGGTCGCCGGCAGGTGCGGGGGCTTTTTGGGTGCGGTGGAACAGTTTTTCTCTTTCTGGGGTGGGTGGAAGGTGGTATGGGGGAGCCCGGGGGTGGGGGGGTTGGAGAGTAGAAGCTGATTTGTCCCTTAGAACTTGGACCTTCTGCCAATACCAGGGCTGTAGCCGGAAGGTACTCGGGGTGCCTCCAGGCTGCACGCCAGCCAGGATTTTGGGGGGCACTTGTGTGCTTGGCATCAAGCTGGGCTTTGGCCTGCACCTTTGGGCCTTGCATGCGTCCTAATTCCTGTATTTGTGAATGTTCGTGTTCTCTCTCTCTCTCTCTCTCTCTCTCTCTCTCTCTCTCTCTGCCTCTTCTCTCTCCGTCTCTCCCTTTCTCTCACTCTCTTCCTCTCTCACTGTCTTTTCCTCTCTTCTCCCTCCTCTTTCTCTCTCTCCCTTTCCCTCTCTTCTCTCTCCCTCTCACCCTTAGTCTTTCTTGTTCTCATTTCTCATTCTCTCTTTCTCTCCCTCTCTCTCCCTCTCACTCTTTCTCTCTCTCTCTCTCTCTCTCTCTCTTTCTCTTTCTCTCTCTCCCTCCAGTCCCCAATTTTTCTTGTCTTTCATTTATCGGTTTTTGTTAGTGGTGCTCAGGTCCAGCTCCTGGCGCCGTGCTCAGGGACCATGTGGCACCGGGTTGAATTCCCTGAGCTCCAGCATGCAAAGCACGTACTCTGACTCCTAGAACAAATTTTATTTGTTGTTTGTTTGGTTGTTTGGTCTGGGGCCACACGTGGTGTGTGCTTAGGGGTTCCTGGGAGTGTCCTGGGAGTCACTCCTGGCAGTGCTTCGGGGCCCTGTGGGGTGCTGGGGATGGAACCTGGGTGGGCTGCGTGCAAGGCAAGCGTCCTCCCTGCTGGCCACCTCTCTCTGGCCTCTCTCTGGCCACCTCATGGAACAAAATTTAAATGAGGGTCCCAATGGGGTTTTTGTTGTTCTGTTTTTGGGCCACACCCTGGCAGTCGTCAGGGGTTACCTGTGGCTCTGGGTTCGGGTATCTCTCCTGGTGGGCTGGGGGGACCTTATGGAGTGCTGGGGATCGAACCTGGGTTGATTCCATGCAGGGCAAACGCCTCACCTGCTGTATAATCTCTCTAGCTCCAACCTCAGCATTTTCTGTTTGTTCGTTTTTTTTGTGTGTTTTGTGGTTTTTTTTTTTTTGCTTTTTTTGGGTCACACCTGGAGATGCACAGGGGTTACTCCTGGCTCTGCACTCGGGAATTACTCCTGGCGGTGCTCAGGGGACCCTATGGGATGCTGGGAATTGAACCCGGGTCGGCCGCGTGCAAGGCAAACGCCCTCCCCGCTGTGCTATCGCTCCAGCCCCTGTTGGTTTGTTTTTTAACCTCCTAGATTAATAACAAGGTTCCCCCCCCCCCCCCCCTTATGTTAAACTGGGGCTGCAGGGCTGAGTGCTTGTGACACATGGCCCCGGGATTCTTTCTTGGCATCGCATCATGCCCCCAGCAGTGCTGGGTCTGATCCAGGAGCTGAAACCAAAGCAAGCACCCTCCCCGCCTCCAGGTTTTCTTAAAATTCCGGGCTTGGAGAGCGAGTATATGGCACGGGGCGTGGGGCCACCCTAGTTCTGTTTCCAGCTCTTCATGACTGGGTGGTCCCAGGCTGAGGGTCCGAGGTGCCGCCTGCAGGAGTCCTGGGCAGAAAGAAAGGGCAGAACTGAAGGGCAACGCGTGGTTGCGTGTGACACCCGCTAGAACTCGGTGGCATCCCCTCTCTTTTCTCTTGAAGCCCCCTGCACTGTCCTTGGTCCATGGCACCCAGAAGCTCCCTCACGCCACTGGTGCCAGCCCCAGGTTCGGTGGCCCAGCCCGGAACCTTCCCCTCTCCAGGGCTTCAGCCTTGCAGCTCCTGGCTTCCTTCCAGAGGCCGGGAACATTTTCCTGTTCTTTTCTAATCTCTCCTTATTAAATGTCAACCCATGATGTTTAAGAATGTTTCAGAATGAGGGAAGCATCTTTGCGGAATCTCTGCTGGTCGCCCCAAGTGCTGTTTTTGATGATCTTAGAGATCCCCCTGCTCCTCAGATCTCCTCCCGCCTCCCACACCTGCACGTTGGGACACACACACACATACACACACTACACAAACACACATGCTTGAGGTAGATGGAGCTCTCACACACTCAAACACACACACACACAGGGTGTTTGAGGTGGATGGAGTGCCCCCCCCACACACAAGGTACTTGAAATGGATATAGCTCGCGCGCGCACACACACACACACACACACACACAGAGTGTTTGAGGTGGATGGAACCCACAAACACACACACACTCAAACACATAGGGTGCTTGAGGTAGATAGAGCACATACACACACACACACACACACACACACATGCTTGAGGTGATGAAGCCCACACACTCACACACACATACACACACACATGCTTAAGGTGAATGGAGCTCACACGCGCCTAAGTGCACGCACACACACAGTGCTCGAGGTGGATGATCCCCCCACCCCTCCCTACACACACATACACACATGGTGTTTGAGGTGGATGAAACCCACACCGCCCTCCCCCCACCACACACACACACACACACACACACACCCCGTGTTTGAGGCAGATGGAGCCCTCACAGGGCTTTCTCTGTCCCGTGGCTCTCACCCTCAGCTAGTCGCCTGCTTTTCCAGAGGCGCTGGGTGAGGCCACAGGCGCCCCCCCCCCCCACCCCCCATTGCTTTCAGTCCCCCCAGGGCTGCTGCAGTCCTGGCCTGTCCCCCCCAGGTCCCTTCTTACCCTAGGGCCATTGTGGTCCTCTTGGAGCCTGAGAGCTCTGTGTCTGTCAAGGGTTCTCTGAAGGGTTGCTTCAGTTTTCCTGTGAGCCCCGTGTGCGTGGTCGCATAAGCTCCACCATAGCCTGGCGGTCCCCATGGGGAGCACTGTCACTGTCACTTCCCTCTTGTTGTTCATCGATTTGCTCGGGCGGGCACAGTAACATCTTCATTATGACACTTGTCACTGTGTTTGGCATATCGAATACGTCACGAGGAGCTTGCCAGGCTTTGCTGCGCGGGCGAGGTACCCTCGGTAGCTTGCCGGGCTCTCCAAGAGGGATGGAGGAATCGAACTCGGGTCATCCATGTAGGCTGTGTGCAAGGCAAACGGCCTACCCGCTGTGCTATTGCTCCAGCCTGGAGAGCACACTTCTCTTTTTTTTTTCCCCGGGGGCACAGCTGGGCATCGAACCCCAGTCTCAATATGTCAGGTGCTTTTGCTATCAAGCTTTTTTCTCAGCTTGTGATACACTTAGAAAACACTTCGACCACCTCAGCAGCCGTCTGGTGAGTTCCTTTTGTCCGAAGTTCCCTCGAGTTTTGCCGTATTCGAGAACTGCCTCTTTTATGAGGTACCAGAATGTTAAGTCCATAACTCCACCTCACGCTAAACTAAAAAGGGAAAAGTCGTTTATTGGCCTGTAAAACCACCATAGGTTGTCTCTAGTGCATTTCAGGAAATATTATTTTAGGCATATGAAAACATGTTAATATGCCTTATAAGTTTCTCCTTTTCCTTGGGAAAATAGAGTTTGAAATGACACCAGAATTAATGACAAAATTTCTCCTCGTTTGGGTTTTTTCATGACATGTTAAATGAGTAGATCCTTTTTTTTTTTTTCTTTTTGGGTCATACCTGGCGATGCTCAGGGGACCATATGGGGTGCTGGGAATTGAACCTGTGTTGGCCATGTTTGCTGCGTGCAAGGCAAACGCCCTACCTGCTGTGCTATCACTCCAGCCTTGATCCTACTTCTTAATAAACTTAAAAACTATCTTTTCGGTAACCCTGAGTTCGTGCCATGGAGTAGAACAGAAAGGAAAAAATGACTCACTGTTGTTCTTTCAGGTTTCGTTTTGTTTTGGGGCCACACCTGGTGGTGTGGTGCTCAGGGCTTACTCTCGGCGCTGTGCGCGGGCATCACTCCTGGCGATGCTTGAGGGAGGACCCAACGGGATGCTGGGGTGTGAGCCTGGGTCAGCCATGTGCTGTCATATGATTGTTCCACCTGTCACCTGACCTTCGCCTGACCTGGTGCCTCTCTTGTGTCAGGAGCCAGAGCTGGGGGCCTGCTGGACTTGGCGTCAGTATCCCAGCACTGCATTTGCTGCCATAGGAGGCTAAGACAGGGTGTTTCTGTTGAGGTGAGGGATGACAGCCAGGGGACTCATGTGGTACTGGGGATCGACCCTGTGGGTCCCACATATGAAGCATGTGTTCCTGACCTTGCGCTGACATCCCAGTCTGGCACACTGAGATTTGCCTTCCTATCACTTTGGGGCTTTTTTTGGGTGTTTTAGGCCACACCCAGTGAGGAATTACTCCTGGTGGTGCTTGGGGATCATATGGGATGCTGGGGATTGAACCCTGGTTGGCCGTGTGAAAGGCAAACGTCCTATCATCCTATTGTCTGTACTCTCTCTCCGGCCCCATATCACTGTCCTTGCTTTTTTTTAAATTTTTTGCTTTTTGGGTCATACCCGGCAATGCTCAGGGGTTACTCCTGTCTCATGCACTCAGGAATTGCTCCTGGTGGTGCTCGGGGAACCATATGGGATGCTGGGAATCGAACCTGTGTCGGCCATGTTGGCTGTGTGCAAGGCAAACACCCTCCCCGCTGTGCTATCACTCCAGCCCCTGTCCTTGCTTTTAATAGCACAGCGGGGAGGGCGTTTGTCTTGCACGTGGTCCACATGGCCGACCCGAGTTTGATTCCTCCACCCCTCTCAGAGAGCCTGGCAAGCTACCGAGAGTATCTCGCGCACACGGCAAATCCTGGGAAGCTCCCCGTGATGTATTCGATATGCAGTAACACGTCTCACAATGTTACTGGGCCTGCTCGAGCAAATCGATGAACAACGGGAGGACAG